ACTGTTCAAGGACAGCTCAAGAGTTCTATCCTAGACCATGTGGATGGCAGCTAACATATTCTATACACAATGCTGGGGGAGGAACAAGTGTTCTCAATGACAATGACAATGACAATGACAATGTGAGGCAATGCATGCACTACTTAAGTAAGTCACTGCACAATGTATAATACTCAAAAACATGTTGTGCAACATGCATACAATTTTATGTGTCAATTTTTTGGTAAATAACAAACATTATATTGCAAATCCTACAACAGACATTAAATATTCTGTTCTACTTCTGTACTAGTTTGTATGTACAATTTTAAAAGAATTTACTGTACGACAAAAAAAAAAAAAATAAAAGAACCTGACTTTTACTGACTACTTTTCCCTCCCAATAAATAAGAAAATGACCCTGCCAAGTTCCATGTAGTCTTGTTAGACTTTGGCGGAGATTTCATTAAACTTAACATATTAATTTGGGGATAACTCAACCACTGGCAATACTGAACACAAACACAGTACTGAAGAAATATTTTCAAAAACCAACTTGTAGTTTTTTCCTGCTGTTTTGTCTGCTTTTTGTGGTGCTGGAGATGGGACACAACTGCACTGCACATGTGTTCCTACCACTCACCCACAAACCCAGCCCCTAAAATATTTTTAATTGTTTTTTGAAAATTACTTTGAAGACTTTAAGTTTTCTTGTGAGTATCACTCTCATTTCACCCTATAGGTATTAGAAATACAGCAGTTCATTTTTGTTTTGTAATTATAACTGCAATTTTATTTCCTTAGTACAAACAGGACATCTAGGTTTTTTGGTCAGTAATGAGATACAGGCTTTTTATAATCTCAAATTGGGTAATGACACTACTGCCTTTCCTCTTATTTATAGTTGTTTTTTACTGCCTTGCAAACGGTTAACTGCAGTTTCAGCTTTTTGATATTTGTGAAAACTTCTAGAGTCTCACAGATTTTATTAAGTAATACTATTAAAAGGAGACTATGAAAATGCATTTTTATCAGTGACACGTTTGGACTGTCTATGACTTCTTATTTTACATTCACTGTAAGACCTTTTGCAGGGTGAAGAACTCATGGTCCCACTCATAGTAGGCAAGTGCACTATCACTGAACTCCACCTCCAACCCAGACTTACAGCGCAACTTCTTATTGTTCCTTTGCTTCCTACTTACTCAGTTGGGGCCTATGTCAGTCTTTTTTGCGGGGGGAGCAGTCTCATTTTTTATTTTGGGCTGGTCTCTTAACTCACTGCAATCCTCCTGTCTCAACCTCCAGACGGCGTGCACCACTACCCCAATTTACTTCCATCCACTTTAAATTCATCTGTTTAGTAACCTAAGTGATATAAAACTGAGTCATTCATGTCCTTCCATTGGTTATTCTTAAATTATTAAGAAATACAACTCTAGTTCAATTTATCTCCTGTCAACATAATAAACTCAACAGGGGCTGAGGAAGTAGCTTACTGATAGGCACTCACGAAGTATATGCAAGGCCTAAGGTTCAAACTCCAGCACTACCAAAAATAAACAAACTGAACAGTACCTGTAACATTCCCTTTGCATGAAAAATATAACACTTCATGCTTGGCATTTTGGTGCCTGCCTGTGACCTCAGGACTATGGGCAACTGAGGCAAAAAGATCACAGGTTCTAGCCTCAACAACTTTACAAGACCCTACCTCAAAACTAAAGAATATGCAGCGGAGCGTGGTAGCTCATCCCAGTAATCCCAGCACTCAGGAGGCTGAGACAGGAAGATCACTGTGAGTTTGAGACCAGCCTGGGCTACAAAGTGAGCTCAAGGCCAGCCTGAAAAAAACATACAAAGGACTGGGGACATGTAGCTCAATTCAGAGACCTACTGCCAGTCCCCTAAAAAGGAAAAAAAAAAAAAAAATACACACACACACACACACACACACACAAACTATATGTAGACATTTAAACTGTACAAAACATTTACTTTGGCTCACTGCTTCTAATTGTCTGATAAAATAATCTGGGTATTTTTTCCTAATTATTGACTTATGTTATTGTCAAGTATTAAAAAGCACCTTCATTTGCTCTTTCAAATTATTACTGAATTCTCAGCTTAAAAAGTTTCACTTTAGTACTAAGAAATCTGACCCTTCCTGTGTTAATTTTATTTCTAAAAGCCTTATAGCATCCTGTGTTTCCCTTTGGTGCCCTAAAATGAGGTTATCTATTTCTTTTCTCATTCACTCTAAAGATTCTCATCCGTCTCTGGAGAAGCATTTTTTAATAACTTCCTTTTTTTGTGTTCATTTTCATTCTATGGTTGGTGGACCCACTTTGCAAGTGTCAATATATCTTATTTTATATTGGTCTTTTTTTTTTTGAGATAAGGACTCACTATCTCAGGCTGTCCTTGAGCTGTGTAGCCCAGGCTGGCCTCGAACTCACAGCAGTCCTGTCTCCATCTCCTGAGTGCTGGAATTATAGACGTGCACCACCATGCCTGGCCTCTGCTGGTCTTTCTGATATATATTCTGAGATAATTTCAATATTTTTAAATTATCCACACTTTCTTTTGAAACAGTCTCACTACACAGCAGAGGCCAGCCTCAAACCAGTGTAACCCTCTTGCTTCCCCTTCCTGAGTGCTGGGATAGATACAGCAGTGCCCCATCATGTTCCGCCATCTACACTATTTATACTCAGCCTTTCCAGTCACTGTTTCACTTTAACAAGCATTTTTAAATTTCCTGATACTTTGATACTGGGTTCGTTTTTTTGAAGGGGTATTTTGAGTTTGAGATAAGGTCTCAATATGTAGCCCAGACTGGTAACAAGCTCACCATCTGTCTGCCTCCTGCTTCTTTGGGGTGGTAAAGTGCTTTGAGACATGGTCTCAATTTGTGCTGCTCTCAAACTTGAGGTGACCCTCTTGCCTCACCATCCTGAGTGCAAGCGTTATACCCATACCACTATGCCCAGCTACCACTGATCTCTATACAACTTTTTACATTACAGAATCGGTATCTGTGGCTGAGTTTGGTGGAACACACATATATAAGCCCAGTTACTCAGGAAGCTGAATCATGAGGGTCACAAGTTTAGGTCTAGCTTGGGAAACTTAGTAAGTCCTAGTCTCAAAACAATAAAATGAAGGGCTGGGGATTTAGCCCAGCAGTACAGCACCTGCCAGGGGAGAGTAATGTCCTGAGTTCAATTCCAAGTTCCAAAAAAAATTAAAATAAAATAAAAATCTGAGCATGGAGACTCATCTCTAATCCTAGCACTCAAAGACTGAACCAACAGGATCACAAGTTCAAGCCCAACATGGGCTACATGGTGAGTAGAAAGCCAGGCTGGATACATAATGAGATCATGGGCAAAAGCCAAAAGAAGCTGGGTGTGGTGGCACATGCCTACAGTTCCAGCACTCGGGAGACTGAGGCAGGAAGGTCACTGCAGGTTCCAGTTCAGTCTGGGCTACAAAGTAAGTCCAAGGCCAGTTTGAATTACACAGCAAGGCCCTGTCTCAGAAAAAGATAAATCAGGCTGGGGACACAGCTCAGTGGTAGAATGACTATCTATCATGCACAAAGCCCTGAGTTCAATCCCCAGTACTACCAAAAACAAAGCAAAACAAAACAAAAAAAATTAAATCAGCCTCTAAATAGGACTGGAAATGTAGCTCAGTACTCCCTATGTTCAATGCCCAGGATAAAGGGGAAGAAAAAAAACCTCTTACATTATCAATGCTGGCTTTTAAAGAACATGAGATCAGAGGGCTGGGGACATAGCTCACTGGCACAGTGCCTGCCTGGCGAGTACAAGGTCCCAAGTTTGATTTCTGGTTTCAAAAAAAAAAAGAGAGAGAATATGAGCATCTTGGCACACACCGGTAATCCCAGAATATACCTGTATTCTGGAAGTTGAGGGAAGAAGAACATAAATTTTAGGCCAGCCTAGGCAATTTAGCAAAAGTATCTCAAAATAAAAGAATAAAAAAGGGCTGAGAGTGTAGGTTAATGCCATGGCTCTCGGCTTAATCCCCATCAGAATAATGGGGATTATTCCCCATTAATAATATAGAAATACATATCTCCCAGTTGTTTTACAGGAAATAAATGTCTCCCAAAATACCAGTGAAGTACACATTTCCTTCCATCTGTGCCTTCAAAAAATTACTCGACTGTGCTTATGGGAAGAAAAAAAAAAAAAAATTACCAGAGGTGGCTGGGCAGTGCTCCACACCTATAATTCCAGCACTTGGGAGGCTGAGACACGAGGACTGTTGTGAGTTCAAGGCGAGTCTGAGTTACACAGAGCATTCAAGGGCAGCTTGAACTACATAGTGAGATCCTGTCTCAAAGAAAACCCCAAAACTACCTCTGATAGGTAGGAAGAGAAGGGTCTCAAAACTTGGAAGAAGGATCTGAAATCCAATGTCCTTTATACAGCAAGTTCAAGGCCAAATTGGTTATATTATGAGATTCTATTGCAAAATAAAAAAAAACCACCACTGAAAAAAGGAGTTCTTATTTCTTGTTTGTAAAGCCCACTTGCAAAGAATTATACTTTAACATTCTAATTTAGTAAGTTATAGATGGGCTGGGGATTTAGCTCGGCGGCATAAGCACCTGCCTTGAAATCAGGCAGTTGTGAGTTCGATCCCCAGTACCAATAAAAAAGAAAAAGACAAAAAAAAAAAAAAAAAACAAGTAAGTTATAGATGGGCCACCTAAGAAAATTTAAACTGGGGCTAGAGTAGTAGCTCAGAAGTAGGGTGCTTCCCTAGCATAAGGGAGGTCTTATGTTCCACCAACAGTGCCATGAAAAAAAAAGAAGACAAGAGAAAACATAAAACTAAACCACCACCCAAAAAGTTACTATCACTTAAACTACATTGAAGATATATGAGGCAAAAGGTTTCAGGTAACAGAAAGCATCTTCCTCAACACAAAAAAACATAAGACAAACTTTTTTTTTGACCCAAGAGAAAGACATTTAACTTACTAGCATGCTTGTCCGCAAGCATTATAAGCGTATTGGAAATATCTCGTCTTCTATAAAAACACACTACTTTCGCTTCCACGTTTCCACTTGCAGTCTAAGAAATGAGAAAAATAACAGTTATCTGGGCAGTAAAGGCATAGCTCAGTAAAAAAAAAAAAAAAAAAAAAAAAAAAAAAAAACAATGGAAAGTTATCTGAATTGTCTAAGTTTATGAAACAAAACCAGTTACACCAGTTATAAGGTCACTTGTATTAACACCACCAACTATAGCTACAGGATAAAAAGACAGTTAAAAAATGCAAATAAGAATAATAATACAATATCTGTTCAGGCTCTGAACACTTAGAATGCCAAATATACAATAATAGTTTACTAGAATCAATTACACAAACATAAGCATGTTAGTTTAACAACTAAAGCCGTACATAATTAAATCTGATTAGCTTTTAAGAAATTAATCCAAAAAACTTTTTAAAAACATATTTATGACATTTAAGCCTATTTCCTCCAAACCCATTCCCATGAAGCCCCAGTTAACCACAAAATCTCTTAGCCTTTCCCCAACATTCAACTGACGGCAAAGCAGTCCCTGAGAGAACAGCAGCCACGTAGACTGCACCAGACTCCCTTGAAAACCACCCTCCGCCGAGGGCATCTATCGCCTCTGTCTATATTCTCAGTAGTCCTTGGTCCACCTTCACAGGTGAAAGTACTGAAAGCCTGGGGTTATCAACACTGAAGCTCTCATTCCTTGTTGACTACAGTCTAGATATAATCAATATTCAGTCCGGCTGTAATTTAACGCAGCTGAGGCCAGGTTCCTACTCTATTCTCTGAAGTCTGAGGGCTTTCAAAGAAGTCAATCATTCCTTACTACATTCCTTGTAAAAACATACAGATTATAATGAAATGCTGCTGCAATTTTCAATGTCTAACAAACTTCAGAACATGTTTTCAGAATTTCTGAGTTAACCGATATATTCAAATATACAAAATGATTATCTATGTGCTGCAACAAAATCTGTCAATTTTTTGAAATTGAGCATTATTTTATAGTAAAACTAAAAAAGGACACTAGAGAAATATTACCCCTTAAAATTGAACTCATTTAAATTTCTAACCAAAATGCTTTTGTTTCACAATCTTGTGATCAAATATATCGTCCAAAAGTAATGGTCCAGCAGTCTGCTAAATGAACATACCAGTATCTCCATGTAAAAAAAATCTATGACTTCAACTCTAAGCTTTTTTATCATCTTGGTCTCATTAGTGACTTCCTCTAATATTCTATAAAAACACTTAAATTATCTTAAAAATGCTTGATGGGTAGGAGTATAGTTCAAAGTAAATATTTTTGGGCCTGAGGCTGTAGCTTACCCATAGTAGCATGCACAAGGCCTTAGTTTCAATCCCCAGCACCAAAATAGATTCTCTTCTGGACCATGCCCACCTTTAGCTACTGGATACTTCATAAGTATAACACAGTATTCTTCGTCCTTTCTACAAAATACACACACTCCCTTCAAAAGTTTTGTGAAGCTTTGCTACTCAAAATAGGGATTCACAACGCAGTACAAATCCAAAACTGCTACTAATACATAATAAACCGAACAGAGGGCTGCAGGTATAGCTAGCAGCACAGATCTTACTTGCTTAGCATGTTTGAGGCCTTGCGTCCTAACCCCAGCACCAAAAACAGTTAAGTGAATAAAAGGAGTAGAGGAGCCAGCATGGTGGGGCTCATGCTTATAATCCCAGCACTCAGCAGGCTGAGGCAAGAGGATGATTTTAAATTTGAGATCAGCCTAAACTACAAAGTGAGCTCAAGGCCAGCCTGAACTGCTTAGAGACCCTGTCTCAAAAAAAAAGAGTAGAGGGTCAACCATAGTTGAATATGCCAATAATCCCAACTACTGGAGAAATCAAGGCAGAAGGATAACAACTTTTGGGCCAGGCTGGACAATACTGTACTACAAGATCTCTTCTCAAAATTCAGAAAAGGACTGGGAATATACCTCAGTGATACAGTGCTTGCCTAGCAAAGGCCCTGGCTTCAACTCTCAGTAACAAAAAACACTAAAGACATAGTAAACCAGGTGTGGTGGCACACACCCATAATCCCAGCAGCTGGGAGGCTGAGGCAAGAGGATTGCTGAAAATTGAGGCCCGCCTGGGCTACAAAATGAGTTCAAGGCCAGCCTAAACTGCACAGTGCAACCCTGTGCCAAAACACCAAGGGAAAAAAACTAAAAATGTAAATCCTTCCCCACAGTTTCAGAAGCATCTACCCAAAAGACATAGGTGAGTGGACAAACCTATGGCACGTGTGCTACAGCAGGCTGTTTGTGTCAGTTAGGAGCTCTAAAAGGCTCACCACCACAGATCTAGGTTTAAGCCAGGTATATGAAACACGCCTTAGTCAAGCCAAAATTCCAAGTTGAGTCCACTTGGATAACGCATACTTAGGAAAACTCTCATAAAATAAAGTTGGGGGAAGAGCTGGAGATAGTTTGGCACCAAGGCCCTGGATTCAATCCCCAGTACTAGGTGGTGACTCAGGTTAAAGTTAGGGTTAGGAGTCTCATTTTTCTGCCATTCACCCAGTATCTTTGGAACCTTCCCCTGAGCCAATGCGATGCTACATACTGGTTCCCAAAGAGGAGCCCAACTGCATGGAACACGACATCCTCTCCTCACCTAATTTCAGTGGTTTCCCACAACTATAGCACAAAAGTAAAGCATTCCTGACAATACATTCAGATCTTCTTTCCTTTCCCTTCTGGACTTCATTTCTCAATCATGCAATCAAGAAAGTACAATCTATTGGGGGCAGGACCAAGAAATCCACTGAAAGGCAATAAGAAGGCAGAAAGTCCTTAGTAGGCTTAAAAACAAAAACAAACAAGGAGAAAGACAAAGAACTGCGCATATCGACATAACCCTATAGTCCCAACACCCAGAACACTAAGGCAGAAGGATAGCTATGAGTTTGGGCTACATAGTGAGTTCAATTAGTAAACTCTGGAAGCCTGAAAGACTGAGCACTCTGGGAAAAAAAGATGATTCCCCTCAGGAAGAAAAAGTGAGATACTTATAAAGATCCTACAGTAAACATTTGATTTTCTTCTTCCATGTAGGTTGTAGAGTCTGTTAAATCTGTTAAAAAAAACAAAACAAAACAAAACAAAAAACCCTCAAAACTTAAAAAAACCTCTTATTACTAGGAGATGTTTTAGTAAATGTTTTCAGCAGAATGGAGATTTAACAGACTCTACAACCTACAATATATACAACAACAGGGGCAGAAATTAGAATATATATATATATATATATATATATATATATATTAACTCACTAAAAAAAAAAAATCAAAACAAACAACAGGTGAGCATGATGGCACACACCCAAATCCCTGCACTTGCCAGGGTGAGGCAACAGAATCCTGAGTTGAAGGGCATCCTGGACTACAAAGTGAGAGCCTAGCTCAAAAACACAACACTAGGCCTGGCTTGGTGGTACACACCCGTAATCTCGGCACTCACAAGACTGAGACAGTACAATCACAGGCTCCAGCCCAACCTGGGCAATTTGGCAATTTATTGAGACCCTGTGTTAAAATAAGAAACAAAAGGGCCAGGAGTAGCTCAGTACAAAGGCCATGGGTTCAATCCCCAACACCGCAAAAATAACTAAATGTATCATACACATTAAAACCTCCCAAAAAATGTGAAATTAAGGGTAGGAGGGAAGCAAGAGGAAGGACGGGGGAATGACTGAACTATGTTACATGCACAAAACCACCATAATGAATCCCACTGATCCGTATATCCAAGAGGTACTAATTCAAAAGTGAAGCCAGGGATTTAGCTTAGCTTAAGCGCCTGCCTGGCAAATGCAAGGTCCATGAGCTCCATCCTTGGGACAAATAAAAAAAAAAGTGTAGAAGAAATAAATAACATGTAACATGCTATATTATCTGTAGGTATAACTTCCTCATTTTTCCTGAGACTACATATATTTTTTTTAAAAAGCTTACTATCTCTTAAATATCTTTCAAATATCTACAGCATTTTTTTTTTTTTTTGTACCAGGAATTGATCTTATAAAGATCTCTTCCCCATCCTCGTCACCATCTGGGAATGTTTGTTTGTAATCCCATGAAGAAGTTATTAGAATTCTAGTGAGTTAATTCCAATCTATCACTTTCAGTGCAACCCAAGCAAGAACAAATACATACTTACAGCTATGGGGAGCCAAGGAATCCTAAGACCAGCCAAGATGGTGGTTCACCAGAACAAAAGCCACAACCCAGAGCTCAACTCAGGTGTTAATTCTCCATGAGGGTAGTGGTTCAGGAACGAGTGACAGTGAAAGTGGTTGGGAAATACGAGACTGCCGTGACTACCATGAATTGGACCAAGTAGGAGGTCTGAGATCATCTCTGCAATATGCAGAGAGCAAGAAATAGAGTAGTATCTAATAATTTGGGATTGGTGCTTCAGTTTTGATGTATAATCCTTTTTGTCCTGGGAAGTCATAGCCTCTTTTCTCAAGGCTTGGTCCCAGCTGACAGCATGGAGCATGGCTCTCCATCCTGACTCAAGCACATATTCCGGGAGTCACTGGGCAGGGTAACACTGACCTATCACCTTTCTTCAAAGATTACACATCAGCTCCTCAGCTGGCCCAATTTACATTGCTTAAAGCCAATTGAAGGGTTGGGGCTACAGTTCAGTGGCACATTGTCTGCCTGGCAAGCACAACATCATGAGTTGCTGATAGCAACTAAAAAAAAAAAGCCAATTGAAGAGACAAAGAAATAGCTTAGCCAGTTCTGTACATATCAATACATGGATATATGGCCAAGTTTATCCAAAATGGAGATAGCTGCTCTTCAAGAATAGTCGTCTAAGGGGCTGGAGGTTTAGCTCAGCAGCATATGCGCCTGCCTTCAAGCAGGTAGTCACAAGTTCGATCCCCGGTACGATAAATAGAAAAAAAAAAAAAAGTCATCTAGGGACTGGGATTTAGCTCAGCGGCATAAGCGCCTGCCTGGCAAGCACTAGGTCGTAAATTCAATCCCCAGTACCACCAAAAAAAAAGAAAGAAATAAAGGCCTTATGTAAGTAAAGGCCAGGCAGGGTGGTACACACCTGCCAATCACAGGCAGGGTATTTGAAGTTTGAACCCAGCCCTTGAACTCTGAGACCTTTTTTTTTTTTTTTTTTTTTTTTGGTACCAGGGATTGAACTTATGACTTCAAGCTGGCCAAGCAGGCACTTGTGCCACCCCCAACCCTGAGACCTTATTTAAAAAAAAAAAAAGCCAGGTATAGCAGTACAACCTGTAATCCCAGTACTTGAGAGGCTGAGACAGGAGGATCACCACAACAAATATGAGGCTATCCTCGGCACACAGCAAGTTCAAGGCTAGCCTGGACTACATTACAAGACCCTGCCTCAAAAAAAAGGGGGGGGGGGGTTACTGGGGCTGCAGCTGTGTGAAATGTGAATTTCCAGTACAAAAAAAAAAAAGTATGATGGTTTCTACCTATAATCTTCTTGGGACTGGTAAAGCTGGGGCAGGTTTCTGAATCCCATGCCATCCCAAAGGACTTAGTAAAATTCTATTTCACAATAAATGGGTTGTACTAGGAGTAGTGATGCACATCTGTAATCACAGCCCTCTCGAGGCAGAGGCAGGAGGATCCCAACAAGACTGAAGTCACCCTGGACTACAAGGAAAGACCCTGTCTCAAAAAACAAAAACAACAAAGTAATGAGCTGGGGCTGTAAATCAGTGCAACAGCCCAGGATTCACACTGTGTGCTATGATAGCACACAGGCATGTTCACTTTTTTTTTTTTTTTTTTTTTTTTTTTGGTTTGAGACAGGGTCTCACTAAGCAGATCAGGCTAGCACTGAACTCACTAGAAGCCTTGGACTGCCTCTGCTTTAATGTCTCAAATGCTGGGATTATAGCATTTGGGATTATAGTGGATTGTCACCACACCCAGCTTTACAGAATTTTTAAAAATGCCTATTCCAAAAACAAACCTTAAGGGTCTGCAAATAAACCAAGTCGGGCCTGGCTTCCTAGGACTCAAAATTACAGTCTTCCTACGGCATTTCTGAGGAAAAATATTTCCAAAGACGTTAACAGTAAGAATTCTCATAATCACACAACCTCAAAGTGGTCTGGCACAAACCTGAGGATTGTTGGAAAACCTGTGGTTATACCTGTTCCAATGCCTCAACTTCAAAACCTTATCTACTGCAAATAATCACACTGATTCTGTGACCTAGACATCTGCAATCAATCAGAGATAATCCTTAAACCTTTATTTTACTTGAGCCAAAATCACAAAGCTACCTTATCAATATCAAAAATGTTTTTTTGGTACCAGGAAAAAAAATATATATATTCTTCCCACAAATAAGCATGAAAAAAAAAAAAAATATATATATATATATCTATATATATATAGATATATATATATACTTATCTTTATGTATTATATATACACACACACACACATTCCCCACCACCACCACCAAGGATCGAAGTCATAACCTTGTGCATGCTAGGCAGGTGCTTATGCCACTGAACTAAATCCCCAACCCTAAATATATTTTTATTCGTTAGCCAAATCTAGAATTTGGCAAATCTCCTTCAATACTGTATTTTCTAATTTCTTCTTTTTTTTTTTTCCTTTGGTCTTTTTCCTTTTTATCAGTACCGGGGATCCAACTCAGGACTGCCTGCCTGCTTGCAAGGCAGGCGCTTATGCCGCTGAGCTAAATCCCCAACCCTTAATTTCTTCTTTCTAAAGCTAGAAAAGGAAAATACTAGCTCACTAACAAGAGAAAAATATCTATGACAACTAAATATAAAAACGGACTGTGTTACAAAAGTAAGGTTTGCTCATTGAAGAGCTGAGCAATTTCAGGAAACTTGCAGATTTGTAGGTAATGTTTAATACCAGAGAGAAAAAAATTATAAACAGCAAGAGAAAAATAATTACAAAAAGAGAATATTCACAATCCTGCATAACTCTCTAATCTAAAATCTCTACTTTCAAAGTGCCTATGTCCTGGACTGGGGATTTAGCTCAGCGTCATAAGCGCCTGCCTTGCAAGCAGGCAGTTTGTCAGTTCGATCCCTGGTACCCATAAAAACGAAAAAGACCAAAAAAAAAAAAAAAAAAAAAAAAAGTGCCTATGCCCTTTACCCAATTACCTTTCAATAGAGAACACTTAGTTTTTAATAGTGGAATCAAGAACACTCAGTCTATATACCTTGTTGAGTTCTTCTATTCTTCTAATTAGGTAAGGGTTGCTAGAGGAATTCTCAAAGTAGACATAATCTGTAATTAAAAGAAGTTGCAGAATGTAATCTTTTCAACAGAAAAATTCATTCAGAAAATCATTCTTTTCTATAGTCTAAAATTCACGGTAAGTAAACAACCCTAATATACTCTCTAGGATACTCTCTACGATCCATAGACCTTTATTTTCCTTTCACTTCAATTAATGTTTTAGCAACTTCTCCCAGACTTTTGTCCTACATGTCACTTCTGGAATAAACAAAGACACCTCATCACACACCTTTCCCCTCCAATCCAATCTGCCCTGGAGTACGCTTCTCGTATAAAACTAGTGACCTAAGACATTCTGGGAAGGAAGAGGCTTTAACAATCCGAAAATTTAAAAACAGAAACAAACAAAAAAAAATCATGTGGGCAGGGCCGGACAAGGAAGTAGTGACAAACTTTTCCAAAGCTCTACCTGGGAAGAGGAAAAAGGGGGGGAGGGGGATCACGTGCGGAGAGGCAGAGCCCTCTGGGGGTGATGTTAGAATCTTTTCACCTTTCACCACACTTCAGCCAGGCTCTTGTTATAAAGAAATTGCTGCAGGCTTTCAACAAAAAAAGACAGAAATGTTCAAGTGTGGCTTTTCCTCCCATCTTAATAGGCTCAATGCAAACTCCCCACTGAGGGTCTGAGAGGCTGAAACGCATTGTTACTGTCTACCTTAGCGGCTCGCTCCCGTCTGCTCCGCAGAGTGGCCTCGTTTAGCCAGGCCGTTCCTACCGCCATCCATCGGGAGCTCGGCTAATGAGCAGAGGAGGAAGAGCCGAGTCTCGCTCACACACCAACACGCCACTTATCTGAATTATTATTTTACCAGCAAAGAGGGGAGGAGGGCGTCGCGAGCAGGGAGAAAGTTTGTTTGACCTTATTTCCCTCTTCCGCAGCAGGCTGGGAAGGCAGGCAGCTGAGCCCACGTCCAGGCTGAGCTCAACTCCCCACCTCCACCTGCGGACCCTGAACCCTACAGAGCCCCACTGTCGGGGGCGTGGGGGGTCCGACGAAACACGGGGGAGAGAGGAAGGAGGGAAGGCGCAGGGCTCACGGTAACCCTAAAAACAGGCCAGTCCCGCTGGGCCCCGGGCAGGGCGCCCGCCCTCACCGCGCACCCACTGAAGGGAGGCGGGGAGGGGGTGCCCCATGCTCCTCCCCGAGCACAGGGGACACGCGAGGGCCAGGCCGCCCAGGTGGGGCTCGACGGTCCCTTCCCCCACGGGGGGCTGAGGGGCGTCTGGCTCCTGCCCCAAGGGGAGGCCCGGCCCGGCCCGAGGAGCCGGGCGGGTGCGGGGGCTGCAGGGCCGCGGCCCGCCGTGGGGGAGGGGAGGCAGGGAGGGCTGGGGACCCCGCGCCCCCCGCCCCGGCCCCCGCAGCCCGCTGCACACGCACGGGTCGGGCCGAGCCTGCCTACCTCCGACCCGGTACATGTTGGCCGCCATGTCGGCGCGCCCGCCCGCCGAGCCGAGCCGAGCCGAGCCCCGCCCGCCGCTCCGCCGCCTCAGCCTCGGCCGCCGCCGCCGCCGTCTCCTCGCGCCGGGCCGCGGGGGGTGGGGGAGGGGACGCGGGGGGTGGGGAGGGGTGGTGCCCGCCCCCTGCGCCGGCAGCGCCGCGACTGGGCCGGGTTGGGGGTAGGGTAGGGTGGGGGCCAGCGAAGGGCGGGGACTCGGGCCGGGGGGTCTTGCGAGGAGCGGGGGACCCTAAGACCTGCCAAAACCCGTGCTCGAAGCCCGTATTCGCAACTGCTGCCCAAGGACTCTGGGGAATTGGGGTGGGGGACCGAAGCTCAGGTCCCCCGAGCGCCCTGGGCCCCACCCCGGGTCCCCTGTCATCTGCCTACTCCAACCCAGATTCTGCTCTGCGCTGTCCCTGGGGAACCCGGGTAGGTGCGACCTCGAGCACGTGAGCGCCAAGCTCGTTTGCAAACTTGGATGCAAATAAGCGCAGAGAGCAGGCGCCTTCATCCAGGGAGGTGCGTGGTGCTTTAGGACCCCCTGGCCTGGGGACCAGCCACACTCAGGTGCCTTCTGATTCCCCAGCGGGAGACCGAGCGGGGGACCGGCCTGGAAATACTAGCTCCTTTCCAAGTCCTAACCGCCCCAGCAGGTCCATCGTGGTTCACCCCGAACTGCCGAGAACCAACGCCCCAGCACCCCGAGGTCCTGCCTCTAAACACACAGGACCTCAGACTGCGACTGCGAGTGTTTTAACAACAAAAGACCCTTAGAAGAGCAGCGCTTTCTTTGTGTATGGGGGAGCACGGCCCCACACTCATTACTACCCCTCCCCCAGAGGAGGGCCTGTCAATCAGCTTGCCTGGATGGACAGTTTACTGGTTAGGTGCCCAAACCTATTCTTTTGTTTTGCTGTGCTGGGAATGGAACCCAGGGGAACCCAGGGTCTGGCACGTGCTAGGCAGGCCTTCTACCGCAGAGCTACATCCCCAGCCTTCTTTTTATTTCTATTTTGAAACTAGGTCTCCCAAAGGTACCCATGCTGGCCTCGAATTTAGAATAGGTCGCTGGGATTACAGGTGTGCACTACTACATCCTGATTGGCCTAAACCTTTTAAATGATTATTTTTTCATGCTGCTTTTAGTCAACTCATTTTCAAGCCTTCATGCCACATAGAAGCAAGTAAAAATGTTATTTCTTGACTGGCTAGCTCCCAAAAGATTAGGTTTTTCTGTTTGTTTTGTTTCATCTGTGATACTAGTGGCTGAACCCAAGGGCAGCTTTTTTCTTTTTCAGCAACCCTTTTTAAATTTTTATATTAAGACACAGTCTCACTAAATTGTCCAGGCTGGGCTCAAATGTGCAATCCTCTTGCCTCAGCCTTCCACAACGTTGGGATTACCTGTGTACACCAAGGTGCCCGGCTAAAAATAATTTTCTTTAGAGAAGCTAGTCCATTCCAAACTACTGAAATTGTTGCATAATAAGCATGAAGAGCAGGACGTGTTGGTGCAAGCTGCAATCCCAGTGGGCCCTTTGGAGGCTGAGACATGAGGACTGCTGTGAGCTTGATATCAGGGAAATGCAGCTCCTTACATGCTAGATTTACTCCAAGTTGGTGTTCCCTAAAATCAAAGAATGAATTCTAAGGAGCAATACAGATTAAGAATAGGAAAAATGTATTGAAAGAGAGAGCTCCTGAGAGACAAGAAGGGACCCAAAAGGTAGGTTGCCACAGATCCTACTTCTCAGAGGGAGTTTTATACAGCAAAATTATGAAGTGGGTACAGAATCATGAGATAGGGACAGCATGGATTAAAACTATGATTGGCCAGGTGTGATGGCACACACCTGAAATTCCGGGATTTGGGAGGCTGAGCCAGGAATATTGCTGGCAAGTTTGAGGCCAGCCTGGGCTAAAGTAACTTCAAGGCCAGCCTGAACTACGCAGTGAGACCTTGTCTCAAAAAACTTTTAAAAAAGGAAAAAAACTGTGATCAATAAGGTTGTAAGTGTTATCATTTAGGTAATACTGATCCAGTGAGGAAGCAGGTCACATGGCAAGTATGCAAGGAAAGAACAAAGACCTTTATGGGAAAGAATGGATTAGAGGCCCTTGTCACCCACCTGGATGACTGACTAGCTAAACTATTGGGCCAGATGTATATAATCTTGAATTTATTGCTCATCCCTGGGGGAGCCACATGGGCCTAGTCATTCCATTTTTATTCTGCAACCTGTCTTTCAACAGATGTGCCTCCGGCCACAGGTGTGATGCATTCTCCCCCTGACTCTAAGGGTACAGCCCTGCCTGATGGCCTGTAATATTTCTGCCTAATTTAGCTGTCTATAATAAGTTGAGGCCAACCTGGGCTACACAGTGAGTTCAAGAACAGTCTCAGCGAATCAATCAATAATCCCTGACAGTTGTGATGGGTTTCTTTGAGAGTCTGATGATACCAACTGTGTGTTGCTAACTCTGGGCTTCAGATCTGTGCCAGGACAAGAGATGTCCCCAGAAGAGAATGTGATGTTTTGGTCACCTTGTGACAGATACTTTTTAAGAATGTTGAGATCAAAAAAATAACTTTCTGGACAGCTGAGTAAAAGTTAAATAATAATAGCAAAAAATAAAATCCTTTTTCCTGAATTATATTGATTGACTCTGTGATGACCTTTTCCCCATCTACAAAATGGAGACACTTGGGGCTGCGGATTTAGCTCAGCGGCATAAACACCTCACTTGCAAGCAGGTGGTCATGGAGTTCGATCCCCGGTACCAATTAAAAAAAAAAAAAAGGCAAAATTGAGACACTGATTCTACTTTACATATACTTCATAGGTCGCTAAGAATCAGTGGTGATGATATCTGAAAATGCTTTGTAAACCAGAGAGCATAATGCACTATGCAAATAACAGGTGTATGTTGCGTTCTTTTTACCTACAGAAAGCCTCAGAGACCCAAGGGTTTTATGCCACGTGTCAAGTTGTAAGCTCATCTCAGCTCTTCTGACCTAGAGAAGTAACCAGAAGAGTTCTGTGATGAACACTGCTTAGCTAGTGTTTCTCAGAATTCTTTCCCTGGAAATCCCACCAAAAACCGATTGTGACATCTGACATCATTCTCTGCACTTCTGAGATGACACACAAACAGGCTGAAAAGTTCACCTAGAGTAATGTAACAGCTTTAGGATTGTAATTCAGTGCTGTCCTCTGGCCAAAATATTTTGAACCATCTAATGAAAAGACCATACGTTGCAAAGAAATAGATCACCAGTTTTTGGGTGCTTTTTCATTATTTTTAAATAAATGACCAATTTCGTTTCTTCTCAGAATATTTCTGCATGTGGGTTAGTTCACTCTCTGCCTGTCTCCTTCCCCCAACTTTGCACTTCTTAACAAGTGTTGGGACTGGGGATTTAGCTCAGCGGCATAAGCACCTGCCTTGCAAGCAGGCGGTCGTGAGTTCGATCCCTGGTACCGATAAAAATGAAAAAGACAAAAAAAAAAAAATTAAAAAAAAAAAAAAAAAAAAAACATGTGTTGGTCCCTACACTAACCACAGTTAATGAGCAGCATAAAGTGCCAAGAAAACCCCCATATCTGCACTCTTCTCCCCGCATGGCACAGTCCTATACAGAAACCCCCAAACAGGGCTGGGGATTCAGTTCAGTGGCATAAGCGCCTGCCTGGCAAGCACTAGGTTGAAAGTTCCATCCCCAGTACCACAAAAAAAGAAAAGAAGAAGAAGCCCCCAACAATGGCCTTAGAGATTAAGAAGCTGCTTCCCCTAAATTCTGTATATAAATTTTTTTAAATTCTATATATTTAGCCTCTTCCACTGCCAGCTCCCAGGCCAATGACCTTTACATAGATACCCAGTATCTTTTTTTTTTCTCTATTCCAGTTAAAAAGTAAAGTATCTTTTTTTTTTAACTATATCTATTTTTTTTTTTTTTTTATCGGTACCAGGGCTCTAACTCAACGACTGTCTGCTTGCAAGGCAGGGGCTTACGCCGCTGAGCTAAATCCCCAGCCCCTATACCTTAATCTTTTGAGGTAGGTATCCCACACAGCCCAAATTTTGTAGCACCTGAGGCTCCGAGGGGTTAAATCTTTTGCATTTATTAAGATACTGAGCACCAGCAGCATGATGATGCACATTTGAAATACCAGTGCTTTGGGAGGCTGAGGTGATTACAAGCTCCAGTCCAGCTTGGTCAGTTTAGCAAGACACTGCTTCAAAATACAATGAAATATTAAAAATTACAATTAAAAAGTGCTGGGGCCAGGGGTTTAGCTCCAAGGCACAAGCGCCTACCTGGTCACCACAAGGTTGTGAGTTCAATCCCCAGTACCAAAAATAAATAGATAAATAAATACATAATAAAATAAAATTTAAAATGCTGAGAAACCTAATCTTAGCAAGCTCAGCAGGAAGCTGAGGCAAGAGGATCACTGCAAGTTCAGCCTGGGCTACAGAGTAAGTTCAAGGCCAGCCTGAACTGTCTAGTGAAACCCTATCTCGAAAAGATTTAATAAAAATAAATAAATAAAAAGATTAAATAAATAAATGAATAAAAAGGGATGGAATGTGATTCAATGATAAATATACCTGGGTTCTATCCTCGATACTATTTTTAAAAGTCCCACTGTCAATCCTCATCATTTACTTGAAACAAAATGAACACGGCAAGAAAGCTATAGATGGGCAGAAAATTGGTTTTCTTTCTTTCTTTTATTTTTTATTTGTTTGTTTTTTGAGACAGGGTAGATGTAGTCTAGCAGGCTGGCCTCCAACTCATAGCACTGCTCCTGCCTCAACCTCCCAAGTGCCAGGACTACAGGTGTGCAACTTCACACCTGGCTAGAGAGTTGGTCTTCATCATAATTTAAGGATGGAGTTTTTATACATGCAAAAATAAATAAAGAAATAAACCCTAATTACTAGCTGCTTAGGGTGAGCTTGAACTCGTGATCCTCTAGAGTCATCTTGCCTCCTCCTGCCTCAGCCACCCAAAATGCTGAAATGTCCTCAGATTGTAGGGAGGTCTGGCGTTTTCCCGATAGATGAATGACTCCCAGCAGAAAGAAAGAAAGACATGCAACAGCAAGAATGAAAACAAAAGAGGCCTGAGGGTAAGGAAACCAGAGCAGAGGCTTTATGGCTTCTCCAGCCATGTAGCTTCTGCTTCCTGGGCCAAACACATGAAATCCAAGACTAGTTCCAAAATATCCCAGATTTTGGAAGTTATACATTTTAGGATCCCATAATTTCCTTGTGGCATCACAGAGTAGATAGCTCAGTCATTTGGTGACAATTCTCAAGCAAGAGCACTGCTTCCACCTGGTAGAAAAGGACCGGAGCTCAGCGTGGTGGTGCACAACTTGATGTTCAAACCTGCAGGCGGCTGAGGCAGGAGGAAGTGAGGTGTGTCGATAGGATCACGTGTTCCAGTTCCGCCTAAGCAACAGGGTGACCCAGAAGTTTTTTTTTTTGTTGTTGTCTTTTTCCTTTTTATCGGTACTGGGGATCAAACTCACGACTGCCTGCTTTCAAGGCAGGCGCTTATGCCGCTGAGCTAAACCCCCAGCCCCTGAGAAGTTTTAAAAAGGGCTGCCGGTGTGGCTCAGTGTAAAATCCCAGGGTTCAATCTCCATGACTGAAACATTAAGAAAAAGGACTGAAAGTCACTATGAGGACAGAGATGAGTCCCCAAATGACTAGTCTTCATGAGCCTGGTGTTTGCCTTTTGGAGCCCACCGTGGAGCTGAGTGAGAGAGGCCTGGACAGTACAGGGTGTGGGATCAGGAGGCAATGGGAAGTGTTGACCGGACGTTACAGGGAAGGCTTGTGAGGATGAGTCAGGCCTAGTGCGGCGCATGAGTCAGGGGCAGCAGAGAGGCCAGGCAGGAGGCTGGGTGGGAGGCCAGTGAGAAGGGCCGCCGGCCTGGCCTAGGGCAGAGGCAGAGGCTGAGAGAAGCACAAGTGTTTTGGGGCTGGGGCGCTGTGGGATCTGGTGACTTAGGGGAGACAGGGTGGTGGCCAGGCTTGTGTGCAGCAGGTGAAGTAGGGAGTGGTTCCTGGCAGAGAACTCAAGATAGTGACCAGGTACAGTGTTAGCAGGCTATGTCCGAGGTGCCTTTGGGAACATTGTGGTAACTGCTTCCTCTTTAAAAACAATTGGATGAACAGCCTGGAGTCCAGGAGAAAAATCTGAGCAGGGCATGTCCTCTTCTGTGTTACCATCAGCCTACAGCCTAGCTTGTCTGGGCTGAGGAATACACCAAACCCTGGCCCCGGGCGAAGTAGCAGGTTCCTTGGGCCCTTCAACTGGAGTAGAACAGGTCTGACAGGTTAGACTTGGGATGGCAGTCCAGGTCCAACTGTGCAAACAGCCAGGGCTTGGGCAGAGCCTTGCAAGTCACTGCCCAGGCAGAGGGTGAGGCCAAGGGGAAAGCCCAGGGCTGACCATCCCAGCACGCCCAGAGAGTGAAGGCGTAGCAGGCATGGACAGAGCTCTGTCTCCACCCACATTCTGGTGTCTCAAGGGCAGAAAGGGAAAGTGGACAGAATGGAGAGAGGATGGCACAAAGACCTAGAAAAGCAATTCAATTACTTCCTAACTGACCTTTTTCTCTCTAAAATGGTGGAATAGGTTAAACAGTGCCCATTGTCCAAGAGGAGAGGAAAAAAATAAGTAAATAAAGCTACACGTGGCAACATACACCTGTGGTCCCAGCACTCAGGAGGCTGAGCCAGCAGAATGACTGGGAGTTGAAGCCCAGCCTGGGCTACACAGTGAGTTCAAGGCCAGCCTGAACTGCACAGCAAGACCCTGTCTCAACCCCTGCCCCCATTAAAATAGCTAAAACAGGTAAATCTACCAGGAAGCTATAAATATGACTTTATTTGGAAGAAGGGTGTTCACAGACTTAATTAAGAATTCCAAGATGAGATCATTGTGTGTAAGAGAGAGCCCTAAGAGAGAGATTTAGGTGACAAGTATCCCTATGAGACAAAGAGGAGAAAGCCAGTTAAAAGAAGAGGCACAGATTGCTGTTCCATATCCAGGAGCCCAGAAACAGTGAGAACTGCCCACCACCACCAAGTCCTAGAGAACAGAATGGGCTGGATCCTCCCTCAAACCCTGCAGAAAGAATGGCCCGAGGACCCTTCATTTCAAGCTTCCAGGCTGCACAGCTGTGAAAGTATAAAGCTCTGGTTTTTTGAAACCACTCCATTTGTGATCATTTGTTACTGCAGCCCTAGGGAACTAATAGTAGATGATACCTACCACTCTTTTTATCCTTTTTTTTCCACTGCTCAATCTAGAAATTCAGCCAGGAAGCGCAAAGGGTATATTTCCATAGTAGAGCACTTGCTTTGTCAAGAAGCACTCAGACTCCTCAGATGCTGATTCATGCTTCCATGGGGCGCCTAGCTCCTCTGTGTCCACTGGTATAATAAACTGATTTCCTCATCTCTCTGGTGACTGGTTGGATGCAACACCAAGGAGCAGAGAAAATTTGAGGCCAGCTGGTGCAATCTGTGGAGACCCTGCTTTAGAAATTAAAGATAAAAAGAGCTGAAGTTGTAACTCAGTGTGAAGGCTGTGGGTTCAGTCCTCACTACCGTAATGCTGTCTATAAAATGCCCTTTATTTAACAAATATATATTGAACATTGCTCAAGGCATTGAGGATATACAATTGAATAGAATAGATCCCTCTCAGGCAAGCGTGGTGGCAAATGCCTTTAATTTCAACACTCTGGAAAGCTAAGGCAAGAGGATCATAAATTTGAACCTAGCCTGGGGAATTTAGTGACTTTATGAGAACCTATCTCAAAAAAAAAAAAAAAAATTAAAGGCTGGGGACATAGCTCAGTGCAAAAGCCCTGGGTTCAACCTCAAGGCCCACAAGAAAAAGTTTAAGGTAGACTCTTCCTGGGCTTGTATTCTACTGTAGGACAATCCCTCAGTCAAACAATCCATGGATAGACTGGTATGGAATGATAAATGATACATAGAGTAAATCAGGATAAGGAAGCAGAGTGCAGTATTTCAGGAGGTGCAGGAATTCCTCTATCTGTTCCTGGCATGGGCTGGAGGGTAGGAGGCAAGGCCAGGAGGTGAGTAGTATTCTGACCAGGTAGGTCCCTGTGGCCTTAGAAAAGGGTTTGGGTTTGATTCTAAGTATAACAGGAAGCCTTTGGAAGGCTTTTCACATGAAGTGATGCAGATGCAGATGTGGTTTATGTTGCTTTTTTTTTTTTTTTTTTTTTTTTTTCTTTTTCATTGGTACCAGGGATCGAACTCACGACTGCCTGCTTC